GGAAGTGTCTTCCATGTGGCAGCTTACTGGTACCCAGTGCAAGATACCCTGACAAGTGCTGACTTGTGACTGCCGCTGTCTCCTAAACGAGAGGTTCCCAACCCGTGTTGGAACCACCAGGGACATTTAACTAAATGGGGTCGCCTGACTATACCCCTAGAGAGCCTGATTTACTGGGTCTGTGGAGAGGCCTAGAGATCAGAATGTAAATGCTCTCCAGGTACTAGAACTTTAAATAGTAATAGTCCTATATGTCATAGTATATATATAATAAAAGCATTTCTTGGGCACACCCTATGTGCCAGGCACTAAGCAAGTGTGACTTTTTTTTATCTCACCTTAAATCTATCCTGCCAAATAGATATTACTATCACCAGCCTACAAGTAGGAAAACTGAAGCTCCAGGAGGCCAGGCGAGGTGTTGAGGGGCTGAGAACTCAGGGTCTTCTGACTCCTGCACATGATTGTCTCCTTCACACAGCACCTCTCCCAGGGACCTTCCCCCTCGGTCTGGAAGTGCCTGTCGCTGGTGGGCAGTCAACAAACCCTGTGGGATGAACAGATGCTACAAAGGACCTCCAGGGCCCTTTCAGCAAAAACATTCTAAAATTCTGCAGTTCTGGGCTGTGAGGAATGAGCGAACCACACACCTTGATAGCCGCATTGGCCATATCCAGGCAAAGACGCGACGTTGCCCCCCTTTGTTTATGCTGAAAAGCACTCCTTAATAGTGCTGCACAATTCTCGGGCGTCTACCTTCAGTGAACCCCTCTGCTTACAGTCTGGTTTGGTGCAGACTAAATGATAACAGCCATTGCATATGCAATAACCTATAAAGCCAATACGAGAAGGAAATCAGCCCCTGAACATAATCGAGGAGCTAATGTGCTACGTATAGATCCTACAACAGAGCTCCCATCCCAAGAAAATGGCTTTGCCCTTCGACGAAAACGCACGCCATGGAACAGCCGCTGCCGCTGAAAACCAACGTCCAGGGTCCGATACTCTGCACAAGGCGTTCAGACCTTACACGGGACCCAGGTATTGGCTGCAGCTAAGAACTGTCACTTAAATGAGAAAAGTTTCCTACTTTCGCTCAAATCGGGATGAAAGAACCCATCACACACAGAGGCAAGGCCCGACTCCTGGTGCTCAGGCCCCTGGAACCTGCAATGGGGATTATTGCACAGGGTTCAGGCCACACGGCCATTTGGAAGGGCTTGACTGCCACCTCGTGGTCAAAATGTGAACTACCGTCCAAAGCAAGGGCTCATATCACCTGTGCACAGCCCGGCCCACTTCTTTCATGACAGTTCACGACAGTTTAGCCCCAATAAGCTGAAACAGAAGGAAGATATTAAGTGTCTGGCAGTAGCCGCTGGTTGGGAACAGGTTAATTTACTCCACTGGTTTCTCCAAGGCAACCATACCTGAGCTGATTTGCTTACATGCACCTTATTTCAAAAAGCCAAGGACTCATTGACTACGTTTTGAAGAAAACTATTTGTAACGCCAATAAGGGGCCCAACTCCAGGACGGTTTCCTCTGTTCCCCATTTCCCCAACTAACTTCTCTCTTCTCTTTCCTTCCCTTCCTTCCTGTATCACCTATAAACTTCCCTACTGTTAAACTCCTTTACAAAGAAATGTTCTCCAATCCGTTACCGACTAGCTGTGTGACTTTGGGCAAATTCCTTGATCTTTCTGTTCCCCACTTAGTAGAATGGATTTTACATTTTTAAAGATGGGGAGCAACAAATAATACGGGGGAGAGAACATGCAGCCCACAAAGCTGGCTCTAACCCTCCAAAGTATGAATGACGGTCACTGCACGTCTGTGAAACAAATACACCCCGGCTCTAGTGAAGCCTTTGGGTCTAACTTCCAGGTCGGCAGGCTGTAGCCGGGAGAGGCAAGTTAAATGGCACTGCCCTTGCCCTAGAGGATGCTGCTGTGGCCACCAGGACCCACTCTGTCCCGAATCCGGGGGTGTTGGCTGCTGATGGCTCTGGGCCAGATTGCCCTCATCTGGATGGGCTGCTTGCCCAAGGCTACAGCCCTCCTCGGGGATGACTGTTCAAAGATGCATTGGTGTGAGGATCTGCCTCATTTGGGGACCCTCTGAAGGACCACCCTGCTCTACGATCCCCCTGCTGAGGCCTCACCTGCACCGCATGGCAGTTCAACTTCTCCCTGGGCCCAAGCCTGGGCCCCTTCCTCACTCACAAGTGTTGATCATGAGCACCTCCCCCAATAAACCCACACAAAGCTCCACCGGAGATGGCTTTCCAGAGAACTTGACCAAAGACATCCCTCCAGTTATTCCCAACACAGCAGCCACCATGCTGTGTCCAAGGTCAGTCAGATTACCACTCCTCTGTTGAGGTCCCTTCAAGGACCCCCATCTCATCCGAATCAAAGCCTTGCCAGCGGCACCCTGGACCCACGACCTTCTGGGCTTCATCCCCTACTCCTCTGCCCCTCCCCCTCCAGCTGCCCTGGCTCCTGCCTCAGGCCCTTGGCTGGACTCTCCCGTCCCCTTGGATGCACTTCACCAGTTACCTGCACCGCTTCCTCCCTCACCAGCTTTAATCCTGTCGCAAATGTGGCCTGGTGAGGGCCTCCCTGACCCTCCACTTAAGCCTATCAAACCCCACCTCACCCGTGAGCTGCACCTCCCTGGATCCTGCGTGAGTTCCTGCGCAGAGCACCCCCACAGTGCTCTTATTCATCACGCAGTTTCACATCGGTCGCCTCCACCAGAATCCAAGCTCCTGGGGGATGGGCTTTTTTCCTGTTCCTTTCACTGCTGTATCCCCAGGACCTAGGGCAGTGGCCACGTGCAGAGTTGCTCAGTGAGTCTACTGAGCGAGCATGTGAGCTGTCGGATGGACTCGGACAGCTGTGATCTTTCCTCCAAAAGAAAATGGGAACAATTCCTTTGTCATTTTTATAAGGATCATGCAATACAACATTTGTGGAAGCACCATGTAATAAACTGCTAAGTAAATGTAAGGTATAATTTTTATTTAAACGGAATTCTCCATCAGCAAGCCACTTAATTTTTATAATCTAGAGCTTCCAGGTTGCCAAAAAGTAAGCACATATAACATTCAGACACAGAAGACCTTGAAAATGGTCTGGTATTGAAAGAAAATATAAAAAGATTTATTCCATATCCCAAATGTACAAACCATGACATGCATCTCTTTTAAAAACTTGATAAAAGAGCAGTATTTACATTGTACATTTTATAACATCTGAAAGCTTCTTTTACTTCCATAAAAATCTGATAAAAGTTAATTCCATAAGTGTGAAATGTACTTTGTTTATATAAAATATATTCTCTCTTTAAATGCAAAATATTCAAATATAATAGTTTTATTATAAAATTGTTCTCAAATTCTGAAATTCTCACTAGCCTATTACTAGCAAATAAACAGAATCACATTGCCACACGCTTCTTAAAATGAGGCAAGAAGATGATTTTTCAGGTGTGTATGTCTCTGAGTAACGTGCAGAGCTGCCTGACCTTCCCACCCGGGTGGGAGGCTCTCCCGGTGGGCGAGCGGCTTCTGCACCGGCCACAGCAGCAACTCCACTCAGTTAAAAAGTCATATGTTGACATTCTTTTCACACTATTTCAAGATCCAAACCAAAGCTATGGCTACAGCAGTTCACTACTTTTTTTGCAGATAGTTTAATAAATATTCCTAAACTAAACTCTAGAAGTCAGTTCACAATCCTTTACAACAGGGGCAGCGAACTTGTTCTGAAGGGTCCAGAGAAAAACCACTGTAGGTTCTCGGGTCACTTCTTTTTTTTTAATAACTCTAAAATATAAAAAAAAGTCTTGGCTCTGCTGTAATCTGCTAATTTTTAAAAGTAGACTTTAAAAAATAGAAGTCACCAGTCTCTAAATTAGACAAGTGTTAATACAATGTAAACACATATTTGGCAGCAAAATAAATCCATGGTTTGTTACTGCAGAAGGAAGGTAATGAACAGTAAGAATGAGTCCCCTTAGAGCGGGCCACATCTCAGAAAGCGCCTCAGTTGGCGGCACCTCTTAGGGCTTCTTTTTCATTTTGAAACAGAAAACACGCGTGTGTCTCTTTGCGGCTCATCTGACGCTCGCACAAACCCTGGACACACGGGGTGGGCACCCGCACGCAGGCGCCGCAGCTGCTCGTGGGCATGAGGGAGACCAGGGGTGACACAGCCAAGGAGCCAGTGCACACCCGCGGAGAGGCACCCAACAGTCCGAAGCAGAGTTGTGATTTGTGTTTCTCATCTGCAGTGCATTATGGGGAAACATGATTTGCATCTGAAATATGTGAAAATAAATTAACAGCAGCAGGACTCGCTCAGGCTCCCGATGAGCTGAAGAGACAGCAGGGGATTCTGTGGGAGTGAGTCTGGACTCTGACGGGGTGAACGGACCTGCTTGCCTGGCCAGTGCTGCTCAGTGGTTGAGCATCCACCCACGAACCAGGAGGTCAGGTTCGATTCCCGGTCAGGGCGCAGGCCCAGGCTGCGGCCCTATCTCGAGTAAGGGGCATGCAGGAGGCAGCCGATCGAAGTTTCTGTCTCATCATTGATGTTTCTCTCTCTCTCTCTCTCCCCCTCTCCTTTCCTCTCCCTGAAATCAATAAAAACATCAAAAAAAGAAACTGGTCTGTTTATAACACTGTGTAATCTGAAGGGGTCCTATGGCCTGGTATTGAGAATCGCACCTGGGGGGGGGTCTGTGTGTGTCTGTGAGGCGTGTAGGTGTGTGTGTGTGTGTGTGTCGTGCGTGGATGTGGGTATGTGAGGATTGTGGGGGGGGTCGGGGTATGAGTGTGGGAAGAGTAGGTGTGAGTGTAGGTGTGGGGGGGG